TTGTAATGTTTACTGATAATATGCAAAACCTCGTGAAGATACACTAATTTAAAAGGTATAGCATGAAAACTATAACAAGCACAAAATGGTTACAAGATCAGTTTGTGGAGCTGAACCCGTGCTGAATGAGTAAAAGGCTAATGTTTTCTTACTGCCACAATAATTTCTTCAAAATACAATATTTATCATTTCATTGTAATTCCATTTATTAAATACAATTACCAATGTGGCCTATATGGTATATGCAACAGAAAATCATCAAGAATTTCTATAATCTTGGTGTAATTATTAATTAATTTAATTTATCAATGCAAGAAGCCTTTTTTCTTACATCTTATGAATAATTGTCAAAAGTCTGAATTAAGGGTGTGAAAAAAATGCTTACAGTTCAAAGATTAGTCTTTAAAAACTTTACAATATATGGTGACATAATCAGCACTCAACATGAGACTACAATAACATTAACAAACAGCTAGGAACAACAGTTCAAAGGTTCTTTTTAAAAATTTTAGGGCATGATGACCCATTCAGTGTTTGACAAGAAATTATAGTAACATTAAGGATAGCTCAAAACAATAAGTCAACAGCTACAAACAAGACAACAGCCAAATGTGTTAAATAACAATAACAGATTCCTATCGGAGTAAGCTATGTACTTAAAGTGAAATTAAAAATCAACCTAGCCATCAATATAGCTAATTAAATATACTTTTTTTACAAATCCACTTATAAAACCTAGAATGCATTGTTTAATCATTTGTGTACCCTTACTATTAATGATATTTTTACTGTAAACCCAGTAATATCTCACAAGATATGACCAGTTTAGGAGATTTAGGTTAGTAATACAAATTCTAAGCTAACAATGCAAATCAATCCTTAAAGTAAAACTTTAATAAGTAATGACAAATCAAAAGAAGACAAACATAATTATATTCAATATAATTAAGTAGTAGACCACTATCATTAATGAAAGGGACAGTAAATAAACAAATGACATACCTTAGTTAGTGACCCCATAAACACTTGTTCCTGTCCTAAACCATAGTTGATGATGTATATTTCTTTAGAAACTGACTCTCCCTTTCTAATAACCCATTTTACCAAAGAAATTCTGTATCCCCCCCCCCCATTATATAACTTGTTAGGTGTGACAGTTAATGCCAAATATTTTCTAAAAAGCATATCAGATTGGATGCATCAATTGCTCATGGTCCAAACAAAAACCAATGTCTATGAAGATACAAAGCAATAAACAAAAATATAATAAAATGATACAGAACCTGACCATTATAACATAACAAGGCTAAAGAAGAAAACAACTAACCATTCTTAACATATTCTCCTTAGTCCCCACTCATGTGTTCTTAGAATTACTTAAGTAACTTCTGTATCAAACACCGAGAGGATTACTGCAAGAAGTACTAAATAACATTCAAACTTTTCTAGAAGCTGAAAAGGAACTTTTATGAAATTAATAAACTGTGTATAGAAATACACAAGGTGTCATATGACAAAGAAAGTAAATATAAAACTACTTAAACTAAACTTAGCTGATTATAACTATATACAACAACAACCAATGATGGTCACTACACTAAAGCTATTTACTTTTACCCCAAACAACATCCCAATCAAAGCGTAGATGTGAATGTTTTTAAGAGGTTGTGATATTGTCTAAAGCTTCTAAACCTTTACTCTTTAGCAAACATATTGTTGAATTTTTCACACTGAATGAATTTTATGTTTAATTTCCTCAATGAAAAATATTAATTACACAAAATGCTAGTGAGTTTACAAGCTCTATTTGCAAAATCTTTTAATGATGAACAAATTTTAATGTATCTAATTAGCTGAAAATAGCAAATATTATAACATAACTTGTCTGGAATATTTGAATTTGGGAATGGAAAGTTTATAACCTCAAAGTTGAAAATGTGTGTTTTATTGTAAACAGATGTATGTGTGATAAATAATGGTGATATAAAAATCTATACAGTTTGCTTTGTTTGTAGTGGGAAAGTTTTTTTTTTTTTTTTCCTAGAGTGAGCTCTGGTTGCTAAACTTGTAAAGCTAAAATGCTGATCATTTAGTATTAAAATATCACCTATATATCAGCAAGTGCAAGTAATGTGCAAGGTTTATGTATTCTAGCAAGGTTTGTAATGTACAAAAATTCTAACCAAATAAATACAGATCAGTAGCTTGTGACCAAAAGTTATTATAACATAAAAAATTCATGGCTTGTAAGAATTAATTTAGTAGTAATTGTTCTGGGTGACATATTCATATGAAGTTCTGTGTTTACTGATGCAAAGAATTATTTACCCAAATTATTAAATGACCCTGAAATTGCTACTGAAAGACTTTTTTTTAATATTTTATCAATAGGAAGGCTAGCATAAAGATTATTGAAATCAAATGTTTCTACCATTATATTTCAAAGCCTTTAATTCTCTCTTTACCCTCAGTAGAATTACTAACGATTATACATGAATTAATACATTATCTTTTTTTTTATAACATTACAGTATTTCTTTAATGTATTTCAGATCATTACCTATCGTGACTGACAATTCCGTGGTTGTTCGATGTAATTCAGGAATCAAAAATAATTTAGGCATAACATTGTTTGATTTACCCAAATGTACACAAAGACTGATAGAACTGAAATGTGTTCGTTAATGATATGTCTATACTGATTTTAATGTATTTATAAATTTCATTACCCAAAGGTTTCAATATATTCAAATTCCATATGTGAAGTTAAGATAAGAAACTTTTTACAAATGAAAACAAAGTTATTAGCTGCTTTATCTGCAGGAGTGATAAAATACTTACCAAGTTATGATTATAATGGGGTCTATATCAATTTTTAAACTCATTTTTAAGCTATTTATGCACTAAATTGCTTACATATCTATGACTTTTGTTTGTTTTAAGTTCCTTAATAACATATATCACATATAGAAATTTAAAACAAAGTTATCATCAATATTGCAATTAATCCCACTAATTACTACTCATGATTTATATACTGTACATAAAAATTTAATAATTTCAACTAATCTGTAAAAGACAAAAACATAAAATTACACAATATGATAAAATATGTGGACCCCCATCAGTAGTAAACAGTACAAGAACAAGTCAGTAATTTGAAGGTTCAAAAATAATACTTTAGAAAATAAAATAAATGTAGTAGTACAGCCACAACAACTTTTTGGAAAAACAAAACTAAGATTATACCCTGAGCCATCAAATATGTATTCAATATTCCTCCTAAGTATAACTGCTATTACACATGATTCTTATTAATATAACAAAACCTGATAGCTACACACAATAAGAAAGGTATGAGACAAAACAACACTGTCTTTTATTACCATCAGTTAGTATAAATAACAGACAAATATTCATAAAACAACTGAGGATTATTGTAAATCATTTTATTAATGCTTCAGTAAGTTTTCCATTTTAGTCTTCATTAGTGATTTTGGTGAACACCATTTTACATCAATTATCTTAAATCATGAGAGAAAAGAGTGAAGTTGTTTTCATAAAAAAACTTCTTTTTTTTTTCTGATATTAAACTGCATTTCAAGTTTATGGCAAAACAACAAGTGTACCTGTTTCTAAGTGTGTCTCCTTCTTCTGGTTTACTTCTTACATCTTTTAAAGGTGGAAGAACCTGAAGACATGAAAAAAAAAAGTTATTCTCTAATAACAAAACTGAATCAAACTAAACACTATATTCAAAAATAGTTATGTGGTATGATTAGTTCACTAAATGAGATGATGTAACTGATTTACACAATAAATTATACTGTTTGAAGTAAAAGGTAAAAAAAAAATTAAAGTTATAAAATTAACGAAACATTTCTAGGTAAAATTTACATAAAATACTAATTTACTTAACTATCTATAAAATATATTTACCTATACAAAAAAGCATTACTTCCAAAAGTTATTAAAGCATATATTTCTAATTCTAATTGTTTACTATTCATGGTCAAAAGCGAATAACCTAACTTACTATATTGTTTCTTACCTTAATCTTCATCCATTTCCTAATTATTCTATTAGAACGAGCACATTCCCCAAGACAGGACAGAATTGGGATTAAGAAGTCCCTCTGCTTTTTATTTGGCTGAAATGTATTATACAGAATGTGTTAAGGAATATTACCTCACACAATAACTGATACAGACTGTTCCCAGAGTCTGTCTTGTTACAGTTTTTTTTTAGGTTTGGTTCTCCATTTTCCCAACATCTCACAGGTGTTTGTAAAAGCATAACTTTTTATACACACACACACTCTCTTCTTCCACTTTATAGCAAATGATTTAGAATAAAAAAATACACTGGAGTCTACTCAGATTTTTAAATTTACCTGAACAATACTGCATGATTTCTGTCGGTGTTTGTAATAGTAAAAACATTTGGTTTTATTCAAAAATAAGATAAAAATACATATTTGATGTTAACTGCATAGGTGCATACACATTAATATATAAACATCAAACTTATATTAAAGCAAACAAAACACTAGATCATGGTTTCCAAACTGGAGACTGAAGGAAAGCATCAAGGGGAGCTATATGAAATACATAAATTTAACTAAAACAAGTGTTGTAAATTGAATGACAAGCAAATTAAACTTTACTTTCAATAATTAAAGGTACAACTAAGCAGGAAGTTATACAGTTCAAAGCAGTAGAAACAATTTCAACAAAATCAAGTTTTTGCAAAGAAGTTCACATTATAGTAGTTACTTATTAATTAAGCAAAATAAAAGTCAAACTAAATTTACAAAGTAAAAGTTAAACTTCTAATAATAAACGGTTATATTTGAACAGATATTCACCTGGTCCATCTTCTTTTGTAGAAATTCCAATATTACAGATACAGCTTCCATGTTCATGCCTTCATATTGTAAGTTTTTGTTATCAGTTTTCCCACCAGGGATATCAGTTAATGGAGTAAGCAGTTCCTCATAGCTGGCATGAGGCATATTGTTGAGAAGATTTATTGTATGGCTAAATAGGAAAGCTAGAATGTTATATATATATTTATACAACTACATTTATTGTGTTAAACTATACACCATTCTAAAACATACTTTTAATTGAATACTAGATGTGAGAATAAATTAATGTAAACAAACATTAAACATCAGTGGGAGCAAAAAAACGAATTTTTCTTTATTTTCCAAACTGTTCTTTACTGACACAAACTTAAAAATATAAAAACTCTTACTTGTGCAGCTCTTCCTTTTTGTCAGGTGTTTTAGTGTCACACAGCAGAATGTCATGGAGGATACTGACTAGCCTCATGAAATGTGCTTCCTCTTCCTGTAAGAGATGAGCTGATTAAATTATAGTCATCAAATGTCTTGGAATAAGTTTTCCAAATGGTTAAAAATAATAAAAAGATAAAGAGCCTTAATTAAATTTCTTGATAAACAATAAATATATGAAAAAAATTAATGGTCCCTTCTAAACAACTACTTTAAATAATTCCAAATTTTGTTTTTATTTCTGAATGGATATACATATGAAATATAGCTCTGAACTAGAAAGTTTATGTAGTAATAACCTGAGTTAAACTTAATTTATGCTTGCTATTATGATGACATTATTTTATAGCTCATAGATATAAAAGTATTTCCATTGTGAATTTTACAAAAGACTGGAATAACTGGTGTTAGGAAAATCTGAAGAATACTGTTATCTTTCTACATTGAACTATAAACAAAACAATACACCTGCCTCCTCCATATTTAACTTGTCTACATTCACAGTTAGGTTGAACAGAACCTTAAGTACTTCTGATGCTAAATCTACTTCTTCATCATCAAGACAAGGAATTGGAAAAACTCCAGAATCTCCACCACTTCGTCCTCTCCTACTGCTTTTGCTAAATCTTTTGCTGCCTTTGTGACGATGTCGATTTCTCTCTGCATTGCTCTTCATAATAAGATCTACTATTTCCATCAGATAAATGAGTCCATGATGTTCAGTTCTTAGTTTTGGTCTTTCCATTAACAAAGAAAGAATAATTTTTTAAGGGAAAAATAAATCAAGATCTGAGATAGTATATTACTCTTGCAATAACTGCTTCCAAAACAAAAACAAAAAAATATCAAAAAATAAGTACAACATTTTTACTTTTCATATAATCTTAACTTGAAGTTGAATACTTTGGACCTCAAGGAAAGCTGTGACAAGCCCAAGCTTGTAACAAACTTGCCTTCATTATGTATATTTTTTTGATTGATTTAAACTATTATGTATACAAAGCAACCCATTCTAAATATTTTAAAGATGAGCAGTTGAGGTAAGAGAAATGCATTCAAAATACTTTTTTGATGTATATATTATAGCATTACAGAATTGTAAAATGTCTTCTACGAGTTCACTTTAACCAAATTCCAGCATAGAATTGCATCTGTAAGTCTCCAGTGGTGTTTTAAAGGCAAACTTTGATTTACTTTCTGACAATTAATGTACAGCAAACATATATAATATCTTAGCGTAGTTATGAAGCCCAACATACTCTCCAGATTATTCAGAAAACTTTGTCAGATTTCTCATTTAAGTATAACCATTCTCCATTTTATCTACTTAATTTATAGTATTTAATTTAAAGGGGATAAAAACATTTTGTTCTTTTATTGTCCTTTTCTAAATTCAATTTGTACTACCCCCTGGGAATATTAAATAATAAAAATTTAATTTAAAAACTACTTAAATAAATGTGGGGAAAAAAAAAAAGAACCAACCTGATATCTGCACATAAGGCAGTCAGAAGAAACAACATTCTCATGTCAAAAAACTGTAAAAATACAACAACATTCACTTTAGCAGACTGATTATAGTAATGCAGTGACATGTCATGCATAAATATATCTGCATTAAGACATATTTCAGAATGAGTTGGGTTGTAACTAAATATAAATATACCCTGAACAGATTCTAACCACAACTGGTCAGTCACATTAAAAAAATAAGGACACAACACAGAAAGTCTTACATGTTTCTAAAATCATTTCATTCAAATTTCCAAAATTATTACAACTTTGAAATAATACAATTTTTTGGACAGCCAGACATAAAATTTCCAAAAAGAACAGACAAAACACAAGAGATGTAATGCAAATGTAAATAGAAAATACATGAATAAGTAAAAGTCCCACACTGCATGTACAATTTTGTTTTCTCCCACAGTTCTAATTCAAATCTTCTTTCTGATACAGTTTTAAGTGGTGAATTATACATTTACTGTTAGCCACAGAGATTTAATATTTGAGGTATTTCTGGTACTACATTTAGTTGCTCATTTTGTGATGAGGACTTGAATGAGATATTTTCAATTACTTTGTTTGTTTTTAAGCTCCATAATTATATCTGTTAAAAAGTATCTCAAAAGATTATTGGATTACCTAAATTGCAATATAACTATCTGTTAGTAGTTTCTTGACTCATAGTATTTATGATTACTGGTTATGAGGAGGATGCTGCTAGTTTACAAAAAAAATTGGATTATTTCGTGAGTTGAGCAAATAAATGGCAGAGGCTTTTAATTATAATAAATGCAAAATAATGCATGTGGGATGTCACAACTTGAATTATGAGTATAATTTTGATGGAAATACCTTTAACAGTGTTGTATAAGTCATTAGTTGGGACATATTTTAGTATACTGTGTTCAGTCTTGGGCTTCTTATATTAGAAAGGATACTGAATTGTTCAGAGGAGAACTAGGATGATACCTTTGATGGAAAGGTTGTCATACAAGGATAGGTCAAGATCTTTGAAACTGTTTTCTCTTGAAAAAAGAAGAGCTAGAAGGGATCTGATTGAGGAGTGTAAGATGGTTATGTGAATTGTAGTGCTGATGCATCATCTTTTCATTTAATGGTGAAGATGGTAAAACTAGGGGACACAAATATCAATTCTGGTAGGACAGTAGTCATCTTCTTAAAACAGCTTTTCTTTCTTATTTTATCAGGGTGGTTGGCCTTTGGAATGAGTTGCCTTCAGATGTGGTAAATGCAGTTAATTTAAGGGAGTTTAAGGGAAGGCTTGATAAATATTGAAATGGTAAGGGATTGCTTTGAGTGTTTTATTTTATAGTTTAGTATTGCAGATGAGATGGCCTAGACGGACCAACAGGTCTCTTGTTGTCCTTATATCACACACACACACACACACACTCACGTATATATAATTTCTGTTGCATTTTACATTCAAATCAACACCAAAACCAGAAATCTTCTGAATGAAATCTTATATCTAGTTTCCTAACTTTTCACAAATTGAGTTACAAATATCATGAAACTGTTAAAACAATTTTAACATACACATACTTTGACTTCATGCAGTAGATCTGGGTCTTTGTAAGTTTTCAATCGCATCATAATCCCTTCCACACATTTGTTGTAACTGAAAAATAAGCTAAATATTAATAAACAAGAAACATTCTACTAAAAAAATTATATTGCTTCTAAATTGTGAAATAAATATTGATGAACTTTATATATTTACTTTATAAAGTTACTTGACACTTCATAAAATATCTGTTCTTGGCTTGCACTATATATAAAATTTTAACTTCACAAAGAAATCTTCTAATCCTCAAATCCTGAAATTTTAAAAGATTTATTAATAGTGATAAAACTATTACTTTTCATTTACTGTTCTAGAAGGAGTCAGCTATGATATAAGGGTGTGTTGTACTCCTGCTGATGGAGGGTTGTCGCATGCTAATTTGTATGATTAAATGCAGCTGAACCAAGCTGAACATATGGAAATAGATAGGAGTTCAAGGCTAGCGATGAGCAAAATTTGCACACTAAAGGGCATTCAAATCAAGAATAGCTGTAACTGTGAGAGGAGGTAAGTAATATTATCAGAAAAAATTCTCTAAAAGATAAAACAGAAAAACAGTTTAAAATCTCAGGAAAAATGTTCTAAATAATTTTAAAAAATAACAAGATTAGATTAATAAGAAGTTCTGACTGAATAGAATTTGTGTCTTTTCCTCAGCTAAGTTTGTTAGTTATCAGTCAGTCACACACACATATGTATATAAAAACAAATAATATACATATAGAGAGTTTTATACACTTTACTTGAACAAATTCTACATGTTAATGTAGTGGTGTAATGTTTACAGGTAATCCATGTGCCATGTTTAGCACCTATATGTTGGTTCACAGAAAAATCCTGAACAATCTACAATGTATTACCAAACTGAAAAGACTTATAGCTAAAGTGTTAAACATAATCCTTATAACCAGCTAACCACACTTGGTAAAGCTAGTAGTTTAGTAAGTGCTTAAGGTAAAGTTGTAATCAGCTCTCAATCATTGTCATGATTAGTATCCAATAAAATCACCTAATCACCATATGATGACAATCTACTTACATTATAAGTAGATTACTTGATTCTCATGAAAGTTCTTTACAAAAATGAAACTAGTGGATGAAACTGATTGAAATTTGACATGAGCATTCCTAAAAGTATGTAGTGTCAGAAAAATAAAATATTTAATTTTTTCCTACTATTTCTAATAAAACATTTGTTATTTAAGTTAACATTTTCCTAAACTGGAAATGTATTTCCAATAATACTTACCTCTGCTGACACTTTAGCTATTTTTCAACACTGGCTTTGCCTATCTAAGTATTGGTTCGCATGCTCCAGTCTTTTATACCCCACTTAAATGCCCTTGACAATATATGATTTGCAAATCAATCCATCCACATCAATGCACCCTTTATACTGACACTGTATATAAGCACCTCACTCAGATAATGTAATCACTTTTTTGAGACTTACACCATCCTAGTCACTAACACTGGCTCTTAGTGGGGAGGAAGGGCTGGAGAGTGTCAGTGGAGATAAGTATTATTGGAAATACATTTTCAATTTAGGAATATGTTAACGTCCAAAATATACTTACCCTCCTCTGTCACTTTAGCTAGAATTCCACATTGAGAAGGTGGAGGGGCCAGTGAGAGCATAGTCTATACAGAAAGAGTCTGTATAGAACAGGGGTGTACCAAAATAACAGTGGTACCCAAGTGGGGAAACCACACTACATCCATAACAGGTATGCTCTTTGCCCAGAACTTAATATTGGTATCAAGGGTGGAATAGTACAAGTAACTATTACAGGCCAGCCTCAACCAGATAGCCGAGGTTCCAGAACTTGAGGTTAGAATTAAGGGGCCATGGTCCCTAGATCCCACAGTGGTGGCTAAGGCAATTGGACCGCAATGTGATATATAGATATACTTTTGATTAGATCCCAACCTGTAGCCATAGAGTGATGCATTCCGAATCATTGGAATTACAAAGAGAAAGAAAGCAACACTGAAGTGGACAAACTTTCTCTTCCACCTGAAGAAGTCTGAAAGGCACCGTCCCAGGATCGGAATGACAGGATCATATATGCCTTACTCAAACAAAGAAACAGAACTCATCTGGTCTGGAATTATAACATTTATCCTCACTCTCCAACCGAATGGGTAAGGAGCATTCCCGGAATTATGGAGAGGATGTGGAACATTGTATTCAACCAAGGACCTAGGATAGGACCATTTCTCATTTGGAATTAAGAGGAGATGGTGAACCTCCATCCATGAACAATATACATCCCAACATTGTTCATAAGAAGGGCCAAGCACACCCCAACCTGATAGTGTACGATAAAATCTGAACTGGTATTACGAATAGGCTCTCACGTAGGCCAGTGCTGCTCCTACTGACATCTGGGAAATACATTCAGGGACTGGGGTAGGAGGGCCCCAGCTTTGCCCTCTTCTCCAAGAGTGGAGGAACACACATGAACACTCTGGAGGAAAAGCCTCTGTCTACCACCTCAGAAACTGGAAATTGGGTGCGGTAAGAACTCCCTAGCTCCATTAGTAGAAGCTAGGAGGTAATGTGCATTGGGGAGCCCTGAGAAACAGTGCTCTGGAAACAATGCAACAGGTGAACCAAGTTCCCTCAATTTTTAAAAGCAAACCAACCCTGATTTATTCAATCCAATGATCGGCAGAGACAAGTAGAATCCCCTTTACCTTTACTCATGATAGTCTATGAGTAGCAGTCCATGATATTATGGTAATACCATCTGATAATGTGCATAGATGGTATTATGAAACACCTCATTTCTACAGAGCCTGTTGCAACCAGTAGCAAGTATAGTCAAATGAGTAGTATAGTAAAACAGCCATGGGGGATAGTGGAAAAACCACCAGAAAAAAAACTGACAGATTATATAAAGAATGTGAGAAAAAAGCATTAGGAGAAGTTCACATATAGGCCCATAAAATGTCCCCCAGTGAGTCACACAAATGGATAGTGAAAGACATAAATGTGGTGAAGCTGATAAGATGCAACTCTCAGAAGATTCCTCGCTTGTGAAATCCAGAGTATGTAACCTGGATATTTGCAAAAACCACCTCCAAGAAAGTGGAGATAAATTTTTGGAAACTGAAGTATCCCAAGGAATACAGAGAGGAGAACTATCACCACAAAAGGAATCAAAGTAAGCCACATAATACCTCTGGGTCTGACAGGACAAAACAAATGATCAGCATATGATCGATTTTAGAGATGAGAATTAGTTGGTAAAAGAATAGTGGAGAGGGATGTATCCCATTCCCTGGTGGCTATAGACTTAGAAAGAAAGGGCCTATCAGGGTATAGAAGGACCTAAGGGGAGAGATAAAGAGTCCTACAAACATGGCAACAACTCTAACCGATGACATCAGAATAGTCCTACAAACATGCCAACAACTCCAACTGATGACATCAGAATGTCAGCAACAACAAAATACCCATTAAGGGAGAGGTGATAAAATGGAACATGAGACTAAAGGCTCAAATGGTTGTCGAGACAAAGCATGTAGTACCACCTTAATATCTTGAGTAAGTAATGGCAAAAAGACCATTTGGGAAGAAGTCTAAATAGCACTGGGGAGTCCAAAACCTTCAGATGTTTAGGATAACGATAAGGAGATGAAAAAATTGTCTAACCTAAATGTCAGGAGACGAAGCTAAATCTGAGTAAAAAACAGGTCAAAACATGATATGGTGAACACGTTTGAGAAAGTGGGTACAAACTCCTTGTGAGGCACACCCCAGGTAACTGTAAACGTTAACCCCCAAAGAGCTGAGAAACTCTTTGTGTGGGGTTGAGGATGCCTCAATAAAAATAGCCAAAGAGGTAGATGCAGAAGTGGACTCACATGAAGAAAATGTAGAAGAGAAAATCATAGCTAGGCCAATCTAGGCTAGCAACATCTCGCAAGTAGATGATCGAAATATAGTCAGAACTCTGATTAACAGATGAAGTGACGGAAAGTCATAGATGAGCAATCCCATCCATGCAGGACTGAATGCATCTACCATCTAAGCCTGAGAATGAAGTAGTGGAGACTCCAAAGCTTGTAGTTGAGTATCAATGAGGGGCAAAAGCTATTATTGGATGCCCAAACTGAGAACAAATCTATCAGAAAACTGCACAATGGAGAATCCATTTGATCAAAAGAAAGTGAGGACTGAAACTGAAAACCTGTTATAAAGTCCATCACCCCAGGAAAATGGCAAGCCAGGAGGCTGATATGATTGGAATAGGCCCTATAGAGAAAGAATCAAATGTAAGAGACCACTGGAATTGATGAAATGTCTCAGGAGGATATTTCCTTGGAAGAGATCTAGACCTTGAACTATTGCCTGTTGGACAGGAAGAAGTTTGAAATTATGGATACAGGATGAAGATTCATCCTCCAACCATATACCTTCGAATTCCTGACCTTGAAAATCCAAACCTCATCCCCAAAGTGAAGTATCTGTGAAGAGATGAAGTGTGGACAGAGGGGCAGTATACACTGATACACACACACACACACATATACTGGCACATATATATAAATACAAAATAATTCTAATGATAGAGTTGATCTAAACCAACCACCATTCAAAAACTAAGATGTTGTCCCTGATGAAAAGGACTAGAAAATCCAGTGGATTGAAGTTCCAGATCTATGAACTGCAATGGGACTACTGAAGGGATAGCATGTGTTTTCATCCCAAAAAAATCAAGAGATTTGAGGGAAGCCCACAACCCCAGAGATAAAACCATCCCTGTAAGTAAGAATCTGACTGCCTGTTCCATAGCCTGGAGCTGGATGGGAGGTGGCTGAGCTGGGCATAAAACATGGTTAAAACTTGTACAACCCAGCAGAAGACATGTGGTGCTGATGCTAGGCCAAAGGCTTGACTCCTGAACTGCAGAAAATGATCCCTATATACAAAACTTAGCTAAAGGCCAGATGAATTCACTTCGAGAATATGGAGAAATGCCTCAGCAACCTCCAACTTGGGCATCCACGGACCTAGTGAAAAATGCCAATGTAGGGTCAGAAAGGACTCCATTGTGGACTGGGGAGGAATGAATTGGTTGAGATGAGAAAGAACAATGATCATCTACGAATCTCCCCTTGTCTCAAGTACAAAGAAACAGAAATAGAATCCCAGAAAATTGGGATCAACTGCCACTACCACCCCCAGTGATCAGTAACTCTGATAGCCATGAAATGAAAATTCACACCCCACTGGTCAGGTGGAGGTAGAAATACCATAGGCTGAGAGGATAATGGAGGATTGAATGGAAAGACCAACCTCCATACCAGAACACAAAGTTCCCATGGATCTACACTGAAGGAATACCAGGTGTCCATCAATAGTTGTAACCTCACTCTAAGTGACCTCCCCACCTAGGTTGATACCAATGCCACTGGCATCAGTCGACCCAAATGGAGTGGTCCTGAAACTAAGGCTTGAGTCTATTCAGCAGCTAGAGCCAAAGAAGGTCGAAAGGTGGATAACAACAAAAAAGCAAATGGGTGATGGCAATTTGCAATACAAACTCTTCTGAGACATATGCAAACATAAAGTGACTATAAAAAGAAACCACATGTAATACCCAGAGGCTACAACAGGTAGATAAAGTCCCATCACCAAGATATCTCTACAGAAAAAACAGAAGCAGTCAGTAGAAGTCAGTAGGAGACCCCATTCGTCCACAAACTGATGTGGGGACCATTGATAGTTTGCCAACAATTTGCAGAGGAAGAAACATCATAAAGTGAGCATGAGGAGAACAAACATAAAAATACCATGTGAGTGGTTCAAAGTGATCACATGAACCAACCTGGAACTCCACATATCCAAAATTTAATGATTTTAGTCTGAAGAAATGAAAAAAATATATCCACCTGGAGATTGAAAGCCAAAGCATGCCAACAGACATACAAGGGTACAAGGTATATCTATCCCATCACGTAATAAAGCAGTAAATCTCTCAACATAAACCAGAAATATCAGGTGAAAAAGGAAAAACTAACTAGTCTCCTCCCACCATTCCACCATTAAGGGAGAAGTAGACTCAAAGGTCACAGAGAAAATCTCCAAAATTTCATAAACCCAAATGACTAATAGAAGAAAAGGAGTAGAAGGTGGATGATCCAAATTGGACTTGTGAGAAGCCAAGTTAGGAAAGAAAAGCATCAGAAAAACAGAGTCCAAATTCTCCCCAGAAAAACCAGGATCAACAAAGAAAACAGCTTCAGAGGCCCGAAAAGAAAACACTCCAGGGCTGAATGTATGTCTCCACCTCCCAATGGATCAAAACATGGATAGCCTCAACTAAGAGTAATCCCCCCCCCCCAACCATAAAGACATACTAGATAACAAAGGAGGAATGGGGGAGGTCGGATTAACTGCCGTGCTGTACAACGGTAATACAAGAATTCATACTGCAAACATCATATCCATTTCTCGTTTTTACCTTAAAGAAATTATATGGAAATCTGCAAGGCGATGAGAAAATCATAATCCATAGCGGAACAAATCACAGGCTTTCTTCAGAAAATACCATGGTCAAGAAAAAGTGATTACATTATCTGAGTGAAGTGCTTATATACAGTGTCAGGATAGAGGGCGCATTGATATGGGTGGAAGGTTTGCAAATCAGATATTACCAAGAGTATTTAAGTGGGGTATAAAAGACTGGAGCATGCAAAACCAATGCTTAGATAGGCAAAGCCAATGTCGAGGAATAGCTAAAGGGTCAGCAGAGGGTAAGTATGTTTTGGAATGTAGTTATTTGCACTCAAACTCTGAATGGTTTACATGCAAGGTGATTTTCATTTTGAGTATAAAAATACTATTTATTATCTTATAGTTTTCACATTTCATTTGCATAATCTCTAGAACCTCTTAAATGAATATCAAGAGTGTTTTAAGGTAAATGTTTGTATTATATTTTCTATTTTCTCTATTATATCACTAACTCTAGTTATTATCATCAATGTACAGTGCGATGAAATGTTCAAAACTAAGAAATGGAAATATGTACATACCTTTTAGTTCTTTGTAGAAGTCTTTTGAAACTTGTTTTTTAGTATACATAATTTCACCTTTTTATTTTTCACTTAATAGTTTTTTAATTTTAATTTCCAATTCTTTGTCTTTTATTATTTATGCCAGTATGCAACTGGTGCCAGCGAGAATCTATTATTATTATAGGGTGACTCTGTTCACAGACTCTTTCACTAATGCTCACACATGCAAATGATGCCATCTTGTTTAGACACTTTCAAGCAACAACAAGTTAAACATATAAAAATCATTAAACCTTTCAATTACACATTTTAAAATGCAAATAATATATAATTATTTAAGATATAAACAAAAAACCTTGATGTAATCTAACTCTCTAGCAAACTAATACATATAAGGCGAGAAACACTTGCCAAGCACTACGTACCCCTTGAGAGAATAATGGATTAAGCTTATTTTCTATCTCATAGTACTAATCCAAATGCTGGTAATGTTTCTTTGGCTATTAAGTAAATAGTGGGAAATCTGCTCTTTCTATTGGTTATAAGCATGCCATTCAACTTCAAACTGTCACTTAGCAACACAGCTAATTGGGTGTGGCTGACTTTAAACTTACAAAAAATTTACAATGTTTCATGTGAGGAGAAATTCTTGGAAAGTTTCCAGGTGGTAATAAAATACATCTGTTTATTGTACTTTGACTGTCTGAACTAACAGTATATATTAGTTGAGAATTGTAACCGTGAGCAAATCATGTGACAGCAAAAACTGTTGTTTTAACTGCTGTTTTAGACATTTCTTTCTAAAATAAAAGAATAAACTTAGATAATATAAAACTTTAAGTTATAACATACTTGATAATAATTTCATTAAAATAAATTTATAGTAAAGTGGTTTAATTAAATTTTTAATGTAACTCAGTAACATGTAAAGAATCGGGTTAACAGGGTTTAAAAATGGTGTCATTGCTATAGTTAATTAGTCACAAATAGTCCTTAGTAGTCAAAACTAGTAAGTAATTAGTATCTATTTATATATATAGAAAAATTGGGTGACTGTATAGGCTATGAAGCATGTAAATAATGTAGCCAATTTCACATGGACCCAACAACTCAATGCTAAATTAGCAAATATGAGTCATCACTTACAATTAATTTTTACCTTCATAAACAATTACAATATGACATTAGACTTATCTTGACTGATTTTAAGGTTTCTCTTTTTTTCCCATTTCAGAACAACACACTTCTTAATTTTTGCATGAAATTGAATAAAAAAACTTACCAACAAATTCTTTGGATTCCAGTACTGTTGAAAATCAGATTACAAAGGCTTTTCTGTGCTTCAATGATCACTACAAAAATTCCATACTTTTTTAGCTGGTACAAATTTAGTAATACATTACTTACAGGCATTATCCACAGATGTTAGATGTGAGGGTTTTATATTTAAAAAAAGTATGCAATGCTCCTGTAATTTTATAATTATTTTCAAGGAATTGTAAGCACAATCTTTTTCTATTTTCAAATTTGAGGCTTAACTGTACATGGAGTTTTGAAAACTATTACTCTGTTGAAAAAACTGGACTTAGATAACATATTTTTCTAAGAATGTAGAAAGTACTCAAATATATAAAAATAAGCAAAAACACTAATTTAAAATTAGTTGCTTTCAATAAAAGATATTTTTTCTTCTGATGACTATCTTTCCACTATTATTTTCAAGTATTATTACATTTTAAGAAATAGAAGTACCATTAACCTTTAGGATCTTTTACTGGAACTTGATTATTAACAAGTTCTTCTTCAGTCACCATTCCTGCCAGCTGTAACATGGTGTCTAGGATATCTTTAGTAAACACTTCTTCTAAACCCCTCTTCTCTCGGCTTAAGATCCGAACAGTTTCAAGGCAAGTTTGATGGCAATCAAAAAATGACTCATCTCTAAGACACTTAAGTATTCCATCTACAAGCTTCTGAAAATTATATACACAGTTAAAAATAAAAATGAACAATTTGAGATAAAAAGGTTTCATATTATTATCTATAATATGTTTTCTATCAGTAAAATGCTTAATACTGTGGTATGCATTTTCTACCTTCTTATATGAATGTAGAACTTTTAAGAAACTTGTATTTCTAGATGTGTGCAGGTTCTGCATAACACATGGTCAAGAAAGTCATTAAGTTGATTCTGTTTTAGCTATTTTTGTTCTTTGTCATTCCTTTGGAGATAACATCAATCTTACCATGAGATATTTAGCTATAAGGCTACACCTTGTGTATGATGGTCAACAGTAGTTGCTCCAAAAGTAAGCCAGGTGATATCTCAAGGTTGCAACCTAGCTTATGCTTGAATGGAAATGGAAATAATCAGTCAATCGGGAAAGAGCAACTAGCGGGCAAGTCTGATGTTACCAATTCAACTAAGTAACATGAAGCTAGTTGCTCTGAGCAAGTCTGATGTTACCAATTCAACTAAATAACATGAAATTTAAACAATCCGGAACATCTTCTTCAGTGAGTTGTTTAGTTTGGAAATAAGTCTTAAGGGAGTAGAGTAAGTCTTATTAATTTACAACTCCAGTATAGGTGACTGTTAGCTTTTTACACAACTACATACACACTGAGTTTATGCATTTTAATAAAGATTGTTTTCATTGTGTATTACACTATGTGTCCTATCCATTTATTTCTTAAAACAGACTTAGTTGGTTTTAGTGGAACTCAGTATATATATTGTCAAACCTCCTGTAATATAAAAGACCTATCTAATTTACTTTTTAGGGAAATTAGCTTATCTAAGAATACCACAATACAAATTACAGTTAGTGTTTTCATAATAATATCAATTTCTTAGCACACATCACAATTCTGCCATGGACAGGCACTGCTCTATTGTAAAAGTACTTTCGCAATTACTTTTGAAAACATTTAAGATTAACCTCAAAAATGAAATTTCCATTATATTTAACAAATACATAAATAAGTAATTACGCTTATTATTGAATCTTCTGATCTGTTTGTTTTTGAAGAAATGAAAACCTTACTGCTAAGTGACTTAATGAATGTTATCAGTTAAAGATTAGCAAAAATGTAATGCACATACACAGTTACTCATCTGTTAAATGCCACCAAATTGAGTTCAGTTATAAGAAAAGTTACAAGCTACAAAATAAATATACTACCTTCTTTTTTAGCACATCAAGTTCAGGAAAAGAAAATGTCTGGGCATTCTGAAACAAAAATATAGATACTCAATAAATTGGAAATTACTCTCAAACTACAATTTGTGTAACAATGGAAATCAACAAACTGGAACATATACGGGAAGTACATAAAGTCTCATTTCTCAAACACACGTGTTGCTGCATGATGCAATACAAAGATTATAATTGATAATTTTATCTTGTATACAAGTTTTATAAGTTTATAGTGAAATATACTGTAACAATATGAAAAAGGTGAGAAACAATTTGCCATAGGGCTTCAACATACAGTCTCCTAGCTCACATTAGTATTCTGGTACTAATAATGTCTGATTAACATTGGATTCCAAGGAGATAACTCCATATCTTCATTGCATACCTTTCCCATCAATTTCAATGGGTGTCCTTGTCCCAACCAATACCCCTACCTGTGTTGATCCAAATAAGGAACTTTATTTATTACCATTCAATTACAGGTATATGTATAAATATATACATACACACAAATATATATATATGTTACAACTCACTAGGTTCAAATTAAAACATTGATTATACATTGCCATGGTAAATTTTTGTGCCTTAGCTGTTTCCAAACACTTTAACAATGTGTCTAAGTTTAAGAGATTTGTTTACATCAAAATTAGTATTGTTTAGTACACCTGTAGCTCTTATAACATAGATTTGTTACACAATTGATTTATAACTGTTTAAAAGCTAAAAGTCTTGTGATAAAGATGTTATTTATAATTTGAATAAAGATGACAAACAACTTCAGATAGAAATTTTATTCTACCCGATATTCTTTCAATTCTTCACCAATGCTTCTACAAACTAAGATTTCAAGATAAATATCCTTCTTCTGATATAGACATATCTAACTCCAATAACAATGTGGATGAATCACAATTTAACCTTTCTCCTAAACCCATACCTCCAAACCCATGACCTACTATAGAAAGAAGTATTGAGAAACTTTAAAACAATATTGACAGGTTTTTAAATAGTTTTAAGAATTATCATGTAAAATCCAATCTTTCAAGAAATGAACAGTTGGCTATCAACGAGTTAAAAAAGAATGATCACATAGCTGAAAGTGAGTGACAAGTGTAAAGGCTTTGTTTTAATGAATATATGAACATATGCAGAAATGACTAAGACACTACAAAAGAATTGGAAGAAAATGCTAAAGAGATTTTGTAGAACTTTAAAAATAAAACCACTATATCCATGCAACTCCTCGACAATCTTGGGTTATCTCATTAAACACCCTCTGAACTGTTTGGGTTATCCAAATATCATAAATCTGACACACCTCCAAGACCCATAGTCTCCATATGCAACTCTCCATTAGAATCTGAATCTTAGCTACTTGAAAAGATACTTCTCCCTTTTCTCAACAAAATCCCTTCACACCTAAATGGCACTGATGACTTTCTCAACAGGTTACACAAAGATGGTTTACATATGAGTTTGAACACTATCCTATATACTCTTCATGTCATCTCTATGTACCCTTCCATTTCCATAGAATAAAATATAAGCATTCTTATATATCTTATTAGATCTACTACCAATGATACCTGTATTGAACTCATCGAAAATTCTCTCAGATTTGTTCTCAACAACAGTTACTTTAAATTCAATTCATCTCTGTATAAATAAACCAAAGCCATCTCTATGGACAACAATATTGCTGCTGTTTTATCCTCTATCTGTATGCATTTCTTTGAATCATCAGCTCTTACTAAGTGGAATTTTGAAACTAATCTTGAACCAGCTAGGTGGTACAGATATACTGACAACATTTTTGGTATATGGAATCATGGACTCCCTTCTCTTTTGGAATTCTTTGAATTCCCTAATAATTAATACATATTACTGCTGTATATTCCAAACCATGTGTTAAACCCATTACTGTACACTATAACTCACAACACCCACCAGCTACTAAACAGTCATTATCAGTCAACTGAAGAGAATTGAAAAAACCTACAACACCATGGATTGTAAGATGCAAGCCAAGACGAAACTTCAAAAGCTACTATTTTCCAATGGCTACACATATAGTTACATTACTAAGACAATTCACAGTTTTGACTCACAAGATTTTAACAAATTACAGCAAAAACAAAGAAACGACCATATCACACAACTGTTTCATGGATTATGTCCTTTAACTACTTGTCTTTTTCAAGCAATCAGAAGATGTTGTTTGAATATCCACATCATACAAAAAACCTGGTAAAAAAACCCTAAGGATATACTTACTCATTCAGCCTTCAATAACAACGATCCATACAAATCCAAAAAGTGCTCTGCTAAGACCAATGGCTTAGAGAAATCCTGCACACTTAGGAACACCATCTTTGAAATGACACGTACACAATTTTCAGCCACATACAGAGAGGAATCCAGTCATTTAACATATGATCGTTTCAAAGAACATACTCATGCCACTGCAAATCTTGACAATAAAGAAGCCACTGTTGAACATTACATCAACATACACAGCATAATTAATGAGACACCTTATCAGATTAAAATTTTAGATTTGTGACAGCTTTCTAGACAGGAAGTTTAAGGAATTTCTTTTGATTCAATCCAAACACCCTTCCATTAATAGATACAATGTCTGACACATATAAAAGTATTATTATTTCATGTAAGTTTTGACATTTACTTTTATGAACAGTGACCCTAACCTGCTTAACAAAATTTTTATCATGCTGTACCATGCACCATTGTATTATATTTCTGTAGTTTTTATGTTATTTTTAATCTAAAATCAGTTTTATAACCTGTGATGTTCAAAGACCCTTGAAAACGGCATAAGCCAAAACCTCGGGGTAGAATAAAAAAATGTTTGTCTGAAGTGGTTTGTCGTCCTCATTGGAAATTATTTCTATACTTCAGTCAGCACAAAAAACTTGAAAAATAATAACAATATGTTATTCATATTGTAGATATCTAAAATAATCAAAAATAAAGGTGGTATGACTATATAAGTGATGATTTTAAACAAAAGTTTTGAAAACAGGCATCTATAAACTTTTCTAAGTATGATTATAATCATAAATATTTAGTCTTAATTAAAAATTTGTTAACTGTTTTTATTTTTGTATCAATCACATTACTTAAAATAAATATGCACTCCAATCATTTATAGAATATGTTAGGTTACTTTACGACCACATGTTCAATTCTGATTAATTCAAAATACTACATTATTGTAGTGGAAGCCTATTCTTTCACATAAAAAGTACTCAAAATCTGGTTAAACTGTTACACAACTAGGTTTTAAAAAATTTAAATAGTATTACACCATCATTGTAAAAATGAAACATTACTGCATCTAATGTGTGGAAGTTAAACAAAATTGTTACTTGTTAACACAATAATACTATATTATCCATATAAATTAGTTTTATTCTCATCCCCTAATAGTTTTAAAATATTGTAATAGTGTTATAACTACCAAAAATTTTATTTTTAAAAAATAAATTGGTCTTATTCCAATTTTTAAGTTGTTTGATCATAAAATTAGGCTATTTGAAGAATACCCAAAATACTAGGTTTTTAGATGGGCTAAGTATGTGCTTATAAACATGTAAAACAACAGTAATTTATTAGGAATAAAACATCTGAAAGATTGTACACAGCATTTTTGCAACAAATACAGTGAGTATTATAGGCAACTACAAAATATACTGATGACTCAAATTTTTATTGATTATTTTTTTTTATATGTGTGTGTTTTCAAGCAAAGCCACACCAGATTATCTGTTTTGTCCACTGTGGAGAATCACACCCTGGATTTTAGCATTTTAAGTTTCAAACTTACCACTATCTCATAGGAGGACATTATATTTATCATATTTAAACAACATATAAAAATAAATTGGCTAAATGGCTACTTAATTATTTCTAATTGTAACTGGGATATGTTTTAAATAAAAACTTATTGTTCTTAGTGATAGTAAAACATGTTTTCATTATTCTATTATCAACTTATTTGATTTACAGAAGATCAGTGGAGGATTACTGCCTATTTTAAAAATAAACATAACTGTGACTGCATGATGGTATTTAGTCAACACTATCAATTCACTGACCAAGTAGAAACTATCCAAATTATCTTAACAAAAACTTTAGTTAAAAAAAATATGCTAGTAGTGACCTGGCTTAATATGAAACCAAGGGTAATTCAAAAATTACTTTTAAAACCCAACAAAAACATAATGAATGGAAATAGGAAAATTAACACCACACTAGAATAATGCAGTGGTTCAATAAGTGGTTGATTAATCAATTAGCAAATACCAATGATTGCCCAATTGTACTAGCAAATCCTGTAAATGTTGGGGATAGATGTAAAACTGCTTTGATAATTGATAATGGACTTTGTCAACTCAAAGTGATGCATTTTTGTTTGAAGAATGTATCTGCAAAATATTTGAAAAACTTGTGGATAAGGTCCTTAAAGGAGCAATGAAATGTTCTAAATCAAATATTAATGACATTAGGTTAAATATAAATCAGGCTAAATTATAGTAAATACAATTTATTATTAACATTACTTATATTGTCACTTGTAATAAAGTTCTATTTCTAAGTTCTATATAATTTAAGATAAACTTTACTACTTTAGGGTGAAGATAAAATTGTGGTAAAAAATATAAATTTAATTGGTTCTTAAACGTTAGGTTTAACAGTAACAGTGTTAATAACAGGCTACTAGTATTTGGTATTGAGTATTAGTATAAGTATAAATACAATGGTTAAGACTTGTGTAGGAGTTAAGTGTTCACAGTTGGTTAGGTGTTATGGGTGCAATGAGTGGGTTTTATTTGGGAACTCTGGACTGGCATGTACTTTTAAGGAAGCTAGTAATATAGATGTGCAATATTTATGTAGAGTTTGTAGGTTGGAGGAGAAGTTGGAGACAATCATGATTAAAGTAGAAACAATAGATAAAGAAAAATGTAGACTGTGAGAAATGGCAGCAGGATTTCAGGAGGAGCTTA